TCTCTTAGTAATTCATTTAGGAGAGCTTATTGTTGCTTTTAACTAATAGTGAGTGAAGATTCGATTTTATTTTTATGTAAAAAAATGCTATTTTATAAAAAGGCCAGACCATGACGCAAAAACGAGGGACAAGAATTAACACCAAAAAAATAAAAAAATACAAATTTTTTTTTCACAAATGGTTTTTTTTCACAATTCTACTAACATAAACAATACGAAACTATCAATAGTTTTTATATTGATTACTGTATTTTACTAAAAATAACATTTTTTTATAGAAAAGTGGTACTGGGGACAGGTCATACCATGACGTTTGGCACCTTAAAACAGCTTTTTAAGTAAAATTATAAACTTTTAATTAAAAACGACTATGGGCTCTTGTTTGTAAACATGGAAATTAGTTTTTCCCATTGGATTTATTGCAATATGTGCAATTGATTTTTTAAAAAATACGAGGGACATTAAGTTGTGCGCTACGCGGAGAATCACCCACATACAAAGTACTTTGCATATTGAAAAAAGAATTGGAATCTTTTCTTAATAAATCTTCAAATTTGAACATATGCATGTAATTTAACAATTTATTTCTATTGTCAATAATTTTTAAATCTTTATCACTTAAAATAACATACTCTTTTATGTTGGCCATAGTATACTTCGTTTAATTTTATTTTTGATTTATGAAAATCTAAATATCTTTAACCCTTTCGCTCACTCTCTCTAACATAAACAATTTTGCCTTTTTTTCAAATATAACCAATTTTGCCTTTAATTCAATACAACCAATTTTACCTTCTATTAAATATAACCAATTTTGCCTTTAATTCAATACAACTAATTTTACCTTTTACTAAATATAACTAATTTTGCCTTTAATTCAATATAACCAATTTTACCTTTTATCCAATATAACCAATTTTTCTGTTAGTCAAATATAACCAATTTTGCCTTTTATCCAATACAACTACCAAATATCCAATAGAATGAGAGAACTATGAGTAACTATGAATCAGTAACTACTTTTCAGCCAATAAGTGCAAAAAGGACACTCTTATATGAGTAATCAGTAGTTCATTACAAATAACATATGTACATATTTATACCTGTATTAAAACCCCGGAACAAATACCACAAAAAAACCAACCCTTGGACAATAGAACCTTTGTTAATGAGGATTAACTCTGAGGACACAGGTAATAATTTATTTTCTCCCATTTATTATATAGAAAAATAAAGATGTACCAACCCTTGACCAATAGAACCTTTCTTAATGAAGATTAACTCTGAGGATCCAGGTAATAATTTCTTTATCCCTAATATTATCACTTGGAAATATAAAGATAAAAGTCAAAAACTGAAGAGGTAATGTATATTTATCTTTCTCACATCAAGGAATATAACATATAAACTTTTTCAATTAATATTGCATTTCTCTATCTAGAGGATTCAAAATAACATAAGAATATCTTCGCCTAAAAATCTTACTCTTCTTTTTTTCTGTTTTCAAAATAAAAAAAATATGTACATACCAGTATTAGACCCTCAGAACAATTACCACAAACAATACCAATCCTTGGACAATAGAGCCTTGGTTAATGAAGATTAATTCTGAAGGGCAAGGTAATATTTTTTAAATTTTTTTATTAACATTTTCTGGGGCTCTAATACAGGTAGGGGAGAGTGATAAACAGTGGGACAGTTTAAACAGTAGGACACTTAAATTTTCTGAAAAACTACTTAAAGAAACACGACCAAAATTTAAATGTAAACCATGTTTATGACAACACACTATCTCCAAATATTTTAGCCACATTGATTCATTATTTACAAAGAAAATTGAAAAAAACTGTTTATGACGTTACGGAGTAAATTTTTTCATGAAATACAATGCTGATTTTTATATAGATAGGACAGTTTTAAAAAAAAGTGAAATTGTTACTTCGTTTACTCATGTTTTTAAGTATAATATCCAATAATTTAAAATATTTTAAAATTTTACAAACAATTTTTATTTAAATAATTTCTTGCGATTGCTAAATTTAAACAATGCGACATTAAACACTGGGACAGGCAAAAATTTAAGTTTATGAAACTGGATTTTGGGAACACTAATTATAAGTTGTGTCAGCTATACGCATGCGCATTTATACTTACACAGCGACTAAAAATATGATTTTTTTATGCTAAAAAACATTAAAAAATTCAAAATTTATAATTATTAAAATTATTGTTCGGCAACATTTGAAAAATAACACTTGATAAGAGAACGACTATTCAAATTTTCTTCCAAATTGTTTTTTGGTTATGACCAAATTATGACGTATGATCAGCAGTACTGTAAACGTAAAAAAAATAATAGCAAATTTTTCATAAGAAACTTTACATCGTATTATAAAAATGTAAAATATTATTAAATTATGAGTGTTTTGCAACATTTGTTAACGTTATTTAATGCAAAACATATATATTTACAAAGTATACAGCAGAATATTATTATTGAAACAATTATTCATTATTTAATAATAAGTGTTCCACTGTTTAACACAAACCTTCAAAACAAGAAAAAAGTATCAAGTTCTAAAAACTTGAAATTTTTCTATTTAATCACAATATAATTTAAATAGAATATATGCATTATGTAGAAAAGAGTTAAAACTTTATGGTAATACCAAAAAGTGTCCAAAAATATATAAAATTGACATAATTATATGTCTTTGAAAAAAAGTGTCCCACTGTTTGTCACTCTCCCCTATATACATATATACAGATATATGAATTTTTTTTTATTTTTAAAACAAAAAGGAAGAAGATTAAGATTTTAGACGATGATGTTCTTATGCCATTTTGAATTGTCTAGATAGAGAAACGCAATGTTAAACGAAGAAGTACTTATGTTATATTCCTTGGTGTAAGAAAGAAAGGTATGCGTTACCTATTCAGTTTTAGACTTTCTTTATAGTTTTTTTACGTGATAAAGGGAGAAAGAAATTATTACCTGGGTCCTCAGAGTTATTAATTAATCCTCTTTAAAAGATTGCAGGTCAAGCGAACCCTCATTTGCAAAATAAAGATATATCTTTCTCTCTCCATAACTTGTTCTTTTCTCTGTCACCGAAAACCCAGCAGGGGTCCGGACGGAATGAATGAATGAATGAATGAATACCAAGATTATTATAGTTAATAATAATAATAATTCTTTCATTGAAGTTAAGTTAAAAATTGTGGACATTTGGGCGTTAATGGGTTAAGGGTATTGCTTTCTTCTTCTTTTCAAAACAAATATTAATAAACTGTCTCCCTTTACCTAATTTGCATATTTACTCGTTTCATAAAAGGACTAGAACAAATTTTTGCGCGCTATGCGCGCCCATTTCTTCAACTTGGGGAACTACTATGAATGAAATAGTTCATACCACCTATTACAAACATTCTGATGAATAAATATTTTAAAATAATCGAATTTTCCATAATTTTTCCTTTTTTTTATGTTTTAATATTCAATAACATAACACTTGAGAATTTAAAAAAGCGTGTTCTTAACACTAAAATTATTTATCATATATATGGTTGGTTTTAAAAATGTAATATATATATATAATGAATATTAATTTTGATGAAATACAGTTTAAATGACTATAAAAATATGTTTTGTAATTCTTTTTGTTTAAGGGAATATCGATAAAAAATGTTTTTAAGTTGACAACTGTCAAAAAAGGGTGAATTTTTGAAAACTGAAATTTTTTTATCAAAAAGTGCAATAACTGTGTTTATGATCACAGTGATAATTACAATGAGGTTAAATTTCTGATTAGACAGTCAAAATTTTTTAAACCCTTCTATCGAAATGATTTTTTGGTAATATTATCTAAAGGGTATTTTTATCATTCTTCTTGAATAATATCAAACCGGGCGTTAGCCGTCTAACGCCCTTCTTGCACCCAATGCCTGAGATTTGCATGTAAAAATAATACATGTTTTTAAATAAATTAATCTTTTGTGAATGGAATAATAATAATTTTTTGTTTTATTAAAAATATTCAAAAATCACTAACTTTCTTAGTAATAAATCATGAAAAATAGTTTACTGTTATAAAATCGGAAAATTTTAAATTTCGTACATTGCTTATCATTCATTTTTTAGTATCAATTGTAATCACTTCACTGTCTCTTAGAGAACGTCATTAAAAGTTACTGAATACAGAACTATTATTCGGATCACAAATAATGTTTTTATGTAATAAAATCTTATTCTTTGCATCAATAAATATCGATTAGTCTAAAAAAAGTGAAGGTTGTATTGGAAATTATAAGAAATAAACATAATAAAATAAAAAATTCACATTCCAATCGAATTCATATTCGTGTTTAGAGTAATGAAATTCTTTTTTACCCAGGGTTTTTTAGGGTTGCTGATTACGAATCCGATGTCAGTTTATTAACACCTCACACAGTGCGTAATATTTTCAGAATATTTTTGAAATATTTCACTGAAATTTTGAAATATTTCAATGCAAAGTTCTTAAAATATTTTTACAAACACGAAAATCTCCATGATTTATGAATACGATGTCGATTTTTGAAAATAAAAAATGGCAGATCTAAAATGGTGGCCATATTTAGAAAAATTGATCTCATTTCTTTAAAACTTGTTACTCAGGGGTATTTCAGAGTAATCTGAGTAAATTTAAAAATTTAACCCGCCATATTGGATCCGCAATTATGAATTTCTAAAAACTAACACCACATTCGTAATCAGCGAACCCAAAAATCCCCGAGTTATAATTTTTCGAAGAATCTGAGTAAATTTTCAAAATTCATCCGCCATATTGGATCCGTTATTTAAAATTTTTAAAAACTAAGACCACATTCGTAATCAGCGACCCCAAAACACCTGAGTAACAACTTACAGAAAAATCTGAGTAAATTAAAAAATTTTATCGAATGTGTGTATGTGTGGTTAGATAGGTGGAAGGTATAAATCAAATACTTTTCTCATAAGTTTATATATTTTTGAAATCTATATATATATATATATATTTTTTTTTTTTAACTTTTTACATTGACACATAATATGAGATATTACATTATATATTAAAGTTGAATGAGTCTTTAAATATAATGAAACTATAGAAAAAAATATAACATAAGAAAAATAATATTTTAATAAACTTAACATTCTTTATGTAGTATAATATATTGAATGAATATATTTCTTTTAAATAAAAATATCACATATTTTAAGTCTTCATGTTAAGAGTGAGGAACTTAAAATGGCACGTGTTCTTATTTTAAGCTCAATTTTTGCATTTTCTTGTTTTATATTTAAATTATGTAATTTAATACATTAACATTACAATTTAGAATTTGAGTCGGAAGTTGTAATATGTGCCATTTTATGATATGTATCCTCAATTACATTAATCAAAATTAAATCTTTTAATAATACTTTTATTATTAAGTGAAAATGTTTATAATAATAAGCCCTGAGAGCAATCGGATATTTAGGATATCATACGGATATCCTTGGGATATCTGGAAAGGAGGATTTCCCTAAGATATTCTCAGGATATCCTGATAGGCCCATATGATATCCTAATTTCCGGATATGAATAGGACGTCCGTAGGATATCATGGAATATCCGTTGCTGTTAGGGATTATTATAATTCAAAAATGAAAATAATCAAATGATAAAAAAACAATTACTTTCTTTTCTGGAAATCATCAATTTTAAATAAAAAGAAAGTTACTTCAATTTCAAAATAAATAAAAATTATAAATTTTCTTCATTTTTTCCATTTTCACTAATTTCCGAATTTTCTTTTGTGATTTGACATGAGTTTACTCTCTTCATCTCTCTAAATCCGTCGATAACTTGTGTTAGGGATAATCCTCGTTCCTCTAACATTTCAATATCTTCTTCCGTTTGAAGTTGAAGAAAAATTCTTGCCCCTTATTGAAAAAATTATTTATATTTTAAAATATATACTTCATTGTTATTCATATTTATAATATTATAACATAATATTTATATATTTATATATTACATTATATAAATTTTGAGTCATGCACTTTTTTGAACAAAACTAAAAAGGAATTTACTTTTGATTTTTATATCTAAAACAAAAATAAACAAAGTCGACTTTTAATTTTCAAGTTAGAAAGAAAAGTAAAAAGGCATTTACTTTTGATTGAAATATCTGAAACAAAAGTAAATTTAATTGACTTTTGTTTCTGATGTTCGAAACAAAAGTAAAAAGACATTTACTTTTGATTTAAATATTTCAAACAAAAGTAAATGTAGTTGACTTTTAATTTTGATTTTAAAAACAAAACTAAAATAAAAATTACTTTTGTTTTCAATACACGTTTCGAAACAAAACGAAAGTATCTTCGAATTTAATTTTAATTTTGTAAACGTCCCTGTTTATAACATAAATTATTATTGTTATTATTATTACTATTTTAATTAATAACCTTGTGTGTTAATTTGTCCAATTAAATGTAACGGATCTCCTTTATTACAATTTAACTTGTTTTTAAAGTTGGCAATACGCACTTCCATTTTGTATTTACCGTCTGTTATGGATCCACAGCCGTAGGTTCCAATGTTTCTAAGAGTGCCTATTTTTTCTTCTATGAATTTACTCTTTAGATATCCAAAAACTTCTGGAAAGAATAATAAACAAATTAATTATTAGTAAAAACTAAAATTAAAATAGTCCCACATAGCACAACATTTTTCTGGAAGTTTGCTGTGCAATGTACTGAAATTTACATCGTGCAACAAATACTAAAATGTCCAACAGATGCAAACTTGAATTTCATGCGTTGTAGTTTTTTAAGGTAGCTAGAGCTGCGTATTAATTTTTATAACATATTTATTATAAATTGGAATGTTCATTCTACTTTAAAAAAAGAATAAATAATCCATAAGGTTATGGATTTTTTTTTTAACCTGTCTTCAGGTTTTTAGTTTCAAGTGTGAAAATATTGTGCGCCAACACAGGTTACAAAATATTTTCAAAACGTTACAAATTATTTTTTTCTTCTTCTTATCAGCAAAAATAAACATTTTATTTTATAATAAATTTTTCAAAAAATTCAACCGTTCTTGAATTATTAACAATTAAAAAAGGGCTGTTTTTTAAAACAAATAACCATACCTTTCTTAAGAAAATGGTACAATAATTTTACAAAATGCGTTTCAAAGGTAATAAAATCATCCTTTAAATGCGTTACCACACATTAACATGCAATAATCTGTTTTAAAATAGTATTCATTTCAAATTGACAAAAAATAAAGAAAAATTTTGTTTATTGTTAATAGCAATTAAACAGTAAGCGAAATTTTTAAAAATTTATTATTAAAATATTGAGAAATTAAGGAACCCTACTTTCAAAATAGGACATTAGCAATCTTTTAATTCCTTACATTTGATCATGGAATATTCCTATTAGGTGAACATTTTAATATTACTTTAACATCCCTCGAATATTCCTTTCAATTTAAGATTACATTACGCGCTTCTTCGGTATATGAAAATATAATAATCATCAAATATAAGGGATACAGCAGTTAAGTATTTTAGATATTTTTTATATAAAAGAAACTTACTTATTCTTTCTCCTTCGTGATGAATGACATCAGCAAGTGATATCACACTAAGGTCGAACGATGCATCATCTTCAATTGTATGCATCCCTATTTGACTGATCATTGTTTTTGCAGATAATTGTAATTCATATCTTACATTTCCATAGTTGTACTCTGGTTTTGATGGAACTCTAGCACAACCTCCATCAATGTGAAGAATCTAAAATATGTAAAAATTAATATTTACAAAAATTTATAAATTGCCTAAGAAATTGGTTAATAAATTCCAATAATATCCTGTGAAGAGGTTTAAAATATAATCAAGAAATACAGTGAAATGCAAAAACGATTATGTTTGTTCAATCAATTATTAATAATTGGTAATTGTTAGAAAATTCAAATTGTGACGACACATATAACCACACATTTCCTACCAATTTCCAATTAGTTAATAAATAATTAATTTACGACATTCATATTTTTGCATATGTCTGTACTTTCTCTTTATATTTCTTCACACTTTATAGCAATTCATTCATTAATCTAAAAAAGAATTGTCTACAAATGAACATAGCAAGAATTATGCGAATTAACATTTATGTACTTTAAAAAAAATTAAGGACTTTGGATATTTTTTTAGATTAAATATAATAATTTCTTATAACATAATAACCGAATTTTTTATAATTTTTCTTTCCAAAATATCAATGTCATCCTTCCCCCAAACAACGCATTGGATTTTTTTTCCATTATTGTTATTTAAATAAAATTTGAAACATTCGCTTTTGCCAGCAATTCTTCTGGGTATAATGTTTGATATATATCCAATCAATTCTCTGAAAAAATAATTCTTTTATAATTCCACAGTTTAGAAATATTTGTAGTACACTAACAAAAAATTCAGCCGACATATTCAACTACTGTTTGGTAGTTAATTAAAAAATAATTAAATTAATTATTAATTAGAAATTTCATTATTTGGTATGTAGTTAAGAATTTTTAGTTAAGTTTAACTTAAAAAAGAAATTGAAACAGTAGTAAATACATAGAAAATAATTTCAACTATCCATGAAACATTTCATTTTATCTACAATTTTTCATTAAAATTATAATTAATACTTAAGAAACATACACTGTTTTGTCCCAAAACTCCACTGCATCTATAGCTTCATTTGATGAAAAGTTCATATTCTATAAAATAATAATAAGTAAGTTTATTATACAAGTGACGGGTAAGCGTAAGCAAAAATTTATAAAATTTGCTGTATTTATTTTCATTCTATCTTTTTATGTTACAATGAATTCCTTGAAACATAAAAAAACTTCATTACAATAAAAATAGCAAATTTTAGCAATTATAGCCCCACTGATAAAAACGTTTAACATTTCTGGACCATTTTAGTAATATTGCGGGTAATATTATTGTAGGTATATTGTAGAATAAAAATATAATACATAATTAGAATTAATATATAACAATAATATTATGAATAATATATAACAATTTATAAATATAATTAATGAAAATATAACAATTTATAATTTATTTATAATTTATAATTAATAATTTATTATTATAAATATAATATAATATTACTCGGTGGTATTATATGTTTGTAATAATAATATCGATCATTGCGAGTAAAGATGATAAAATAAATAAAAGACTATTTAATGTTTCCACGGCACAGCCGTCCTTTTCAGAACCTCAGGTACAGTAAACATTTAAAAACAAAACTTTATATACCTCCAAATGATCGATATTATTACAAATAATGTTACAGTAATGTTTAAAAAGTATACAAGTTAGGTAATAAATAATTTTACAAACTTTTAATCAGTACTGCCTGATTGATAAAGACACGTATAAATACATGTATAAATATACGTATAAAAACACACATTTTTATACGTAGAAATACACATGTTTCTATATGTATATAAAAACATACGAATTTATATCTGTATTTATACATTTTTTAAAAAATGCAAAACAAAAGTGTACACGTGTTATCACATGTACAGTGCCGCTCAGCAGATTTTGCCCACCTTTGAGAATTTTACGCTTGGCGAAAAGTTGTATATTTCAGTTGCTAATAAAGATATAACAATGAGTGAGGACACATTTTTTATATTAAGAATTTTTTTCAAAAGCTAACCGTTCTCGACTTCTTACTAATTACAAAAAGTGCTGATTTTCAAAAAAATCAAAATATGTCAAAAAAAAATAATTTTTTTTTAGGTCTAAATATTTTTTTTCTAATTCTATACATAAAAAGGCACATTTGTCTTCTCAACAATTTTTTTCAAAAATCAATCGTTCTTGAGTTATGACTAGTTGAAAAAAAGTGCAGTTTTTTTTAAACAATTGTCCATATCTTTGTTACAAATTATCGTATTAAAGTTTACAAGGAATCATTTTAAAGGTGATAAAATTAGCTTTCAAATGGCTTATCAACGATTAAAATGTGATGACTGGTTTAAAAACTGCAGCGATTTTAAAATTACAAAAAAACCGGAAATTTGGGATTTTTATTTTGAGCAATTAAACAATAACAAAAAATTTTTTTTTAATGTCTGTTTTAGATATCATAAAAGTAGAAGACATAATTTTTCAAAAAAGTCCTCACTCATTATTAGCTTCATTAGCAACCGAAATATAAAACTTTTCGCCAAGCGTAAAATTCTCAAAGGTGGGCAAAATCTGCTGAGCGGCACTGTATATTAGTAAAGAATAATATATCTCATATATATATATATATATATATATGTAAAAAATGTACAAATATTTAATAATATAGACATATATTAATACGCGTATTACAGAGAGAGAGAGAGAGAGAGAGAGAGAGAGAGAGAGAGAGAGAGAGAGAGAGAGAAAGAGAGAAAGAGAGAAAGAGAGAAAGAGAGAAAGAGAGAAAGAGAGAAAGAGAGAAAGAGAGAAAGAGAGAAAGAGAGAAAGAGAGAAAGAGAGAAAGAGAGAAAGAGAGAAAGAGAGAAAGAGAGAAAGAGAGAAAGAGAGAAAGAGAGAAAGAGAGAAAGAGAGAAAGAGAGAAAGAGAGAAAGAGAGAAAGAGAGAAAGAGAGAAAGAGAGAAAGAGAGAATTGTAATGTTAAATTATTCATAATACATGTAATGTTTTACTTATTAGCGTATAAGTTTACGGTAATATTATAACACTACTGGCCTGCGTGAATATTTTTCGTCCGGTTTTCCGCCCGGAAAATCCGCCTAGAAATCAGTCCGGATTGTTTCACAATCGGATTTTCGGTCAGAGAATTTTAAACAATCATCCTGATTTTTGAGCGAATTTTCAGGCGGAATATGGGGCAAAAATTTTCACTCAGGTTAATAATTTTTTCCACAAATAATATTTTTTAACTTCTTTTTCTAATTTTAATGTAAATCTATTACATCTATCTATCTTTATTTTTATATTTATCTCTAAATTATTTAACTCAAATAAAATAATAAATCAGTAAGTATTATTAAATTGAGAAATAACGTCTATTTTAAAATAAAATTGTAATTTCATTGTAACGGTTAAGGCACTTATTCACGTAAACATCAGTTTATTTACCTTTCTTCTTATCTATCACACTATACTTCGAAATTTAATTATCTTTTATAAAATTGAAAAACGTATGTTGTCAAATGTGATATGTTTCTAAAGAAAATTTCATATTATTTCATATTAAATCCAAAATTATATCTACTGATTTATTATTTTATTTGAGTTAAATAATTTTATTAATTTTTCTAATAACTAAAATAGCATTCATTAAATTAGTAGATGTAAAAAATAAAATTATTTCCTTACAACCGTCTTTATATTACATTAAAAATTTTACTTTAGAATAAAATATTAATAAAATAAAATATTTTTACATTTTAAATAGAATTTTTATCTCTAATATATATATATATATAAATATAAACTCTAAAATCAAAAATTATAATTAGATTACTTTATGAATAAAATAATGTCACAAAATAATAAAAAATCTTAAAACTTACCTCAAATTTCACTTGAAGTGGAACACACTTACACCTTCCAAAAAAATTACTTAAAACAATTGTTTCTTATAGCACAGTGTGCGTATGGTCCTCTACACGTGTTTCCTAAAGCTCAATTCCCGAACGAAAGAACGACTTGAAAGATCTAGTAGTAGGAGAGACTAAAAGGAGTGGATCAAAGTATATAAAAAGAGGGGATAAAGGGAGATACCAGCGAAGTACCATGACTTAAAATTTTAAATGCCTAACTATGAAATTGTAATATCTCAATTTTTATCTTTCAATTATATACCTATATATTGAAATGATCCATACTTTTATAAAAATGATTCTGAAAAATTATTGTATAAATTTTATAAGATTATAATTGTTTTTATTTTCATAAATTAATGGTACAATTATATTAAATTTGGAAATATAATTCAATTTACACTCACAAACATGCACTAATATTACAAAAATTTTTTAATATACCTATAACTGCCAAAATTTGAAATTTATGAATTTTGAAGTATCCTTTTTTTATAAAGACCATGGCACTTACGAGGTTAAGAAATAAACAAATCTCCAATTGAGGCGTTGGGTGCAATAAGGGCGTATAACAAAAAACGACAAACGGAGAACATTCAAGTTAAAGTTTTAAACTTTAATTATTCAAAAACTGTAAATGCAAATAATAAAAAAAAAATTTTTTTCAATACAGGTATGCACATATTTATATAGATATATTTTTATTTTCAAAACAAAAAGGAAGAAGATTAAGATTTTAGACGATGATGTTCTTATGCCATTTTGAATTGTCTAGATAGAGAAACGCAATGTTAAACGAAGAAGTACTTATGTTATATTCCTTGGTGTAAGAAAGAAAGGTATGCGTTACCTATTCAGTTTTAGACTTTCTTTATAGTTTTTTCACGTGATAAAGGGAGAAAGAAATTATTACCTGGGTCCTCAGAGTTATTAATTAATCCTCTTTAAAAGATTGCAGGTCAAGCGAACCCTTATTTGCAAAATAAAGATATATCTTTCTCTCTCCATAACTTGTTCTTTTCTCTGTCACCGAAAACCCAGCAGGGGTCCGGACGGAATGAATGAATGAATGAAGGAATGAATTCAAAGATTATTATAGTTAATAAAACAAACGCGCGTAAACGCGCGTGAATTTTTTGTAACTGTGACAATATATATACAAATAGTATATTTTATACATTACATTTAATATTTAACATTAATTATACATTCTTTTTTATTTTTGTATAAAAGATAAAACTTCTAGAAGGTAAGGAAAAAAACATCGTTTATACAAAATATTTTGCATAGGATAAATGATTTTAACTGCGTTAAAATAATATGTTAAACTTATAATTTCCCAAGTAAATATTTATAGTATGTTATCATATTCTAATGAAGTTAACACTATTTGTTATTTTATTGCACAACCGATATTTTTATGCAATAAAACCATTTACTTTGAATAAAAAATGAAGTATCTAAATGCAGGGATGAAATTGGTTTCTTTACCTAAAATTAGGGGAAAAGGGGAATTTTCGCATTAAAAAAAGGGGATTTTATAAATCACAAAATAATTTTTATTTATATTATATACACTCCCAACCGATAATTTTTGCCCACCTAACGGCGAAAATAGGCCTGACAAAAAGTTTTGTATTTCATTTTCCATTTGAGATAAAAAAGTCATCGAGGGCTCATTTTAAAGCTTATTTTCTCAACTTTTACGTAACATAAGAGAAATTTAAAAAAATAATTTTTTTTAATATTTTATTGTTCTTAAGGCAAAATTAAAATTTCCGTTTCTTTTTTTTATCTTTTTAAAACTGATACCATTTCTTTAAAAATCATCAGATTTAAACTTTATACCATTCATTTGAAAGGTAATTTTATTACCTTTAATATGATTATTTAAAAATTCTTCAACGTTTTTTTTACAATGTTGTAGGCAATGGTTTAAAAACACAGCATTTTTTCTCAATTGTTGATCATTTAAAAACAATTAGTTCTTTTCAAAATTGTATTAAAAGATAAAATGTTACTTTTTATATATAGAATTGGAAAAGAAATATTTCAAATTTTTTTTAAAAAAATATTTTTTACCATATGTACAATGTTTAGATTTCTACACTTAAAATTGAAAATCTCAGTATATATTAAAAAAAATTTTTTCAAACAAATTTTTAATATTGTTCTTTTAATTTTTTACGTAAAAAGGAACATTTTTTATTCTAATAAATTTTTTAAAATAACAAATTTTTTCAAAATTATCAACAATTGGAAAAAAGTGCTTTTTTTTCAAACAATTGCCAAAAACTTTGTAAAAAAAAATCGTTGAATAATTTTGAAATTATTATATTATGGGGGGATAGAAATACCTTTCAAACGAATGGTATAAAGTTAAAATCTGATGACTTTTAAAGAAATGGTATCAGTTTTAAAAAGACAAAAAAAACGGAAATTTCAATTTTGCCTTAACAAGAATAAAATATTTAAAAAAAATTATTTTTTAAAAGTTCTCTTGTTTTATGTAAAAGTTAAGGATATAAGCTTTAAAATTAGTCCTCGATGACTTTTTTATCTCATCTGGAAAATAAAATACAAAACTTATTGTTAGGCCTGTGTTCGCCGTAGGGTGGGAAAAAAATACACTTTCTTTAAAAGAACTTTTGGTTCTTATTTTTTTTATAACTTTCTAATTAAATAAGTCTTTCTTCAAAAAAAATTTCCTAAATGATAATCAATTTTTGTTTTATCTTTTTGTTTACATTGCATTTTTTAACTTATATTAAACCTTATAAAGAAGCTGCGTCAACGTATAAAAGTCTTGTTTTTAGATTTTTTTACTCTAAAGAATTTAGAAGTTTTATTAAAAACCGATTTCTAATTTTTACTTTTAAATAAATATAGTAAGGGTCGTTCATAAATTACGTCACGCTTCTGAGGGGGACTTCAATTTTCTGAGTGTGACGATCTGTAGAAGAAATGGCACTAATACGTGTAAATTTTGTGACGTTCGGGGGGTGGTGGGTGGGTGGCAAAAAAACCAAAATACTGTGACCTAATTTATAAACAGCTTTAACGTATAAAAGATGGAATCATCATGATTAAAAAAAAATACACGGAAAAAAATCTGTTGCGATTATTGCATGAGTAAATCCTTAGGAATAACGGGTGTCACAAAAGTCTTGAGACAAATTTGAAGAGTCTTGGTTTGTAGAAATATATAAAATAAAATAATAAATCGAGGTTTGGACTTGTGCTGTTTCTGTACAGAACAGAAATTTCATCATTTCTTTTAGAGGGTTAGGAATGTTTTAATGCATGTAATATTTTGCCAGATTGTACAGCTTCATTTGACAATAATGAGGATTCTGAAAAAAACCATTTTAATCGTGAATTTAACCAAAATCTGGTATTTATTACTAACAATTTCTGTGAAAAAACATTTTAATAACTCAACTTGTTTCAGATATACGGAAACTCAAAATTTTACTGAAAAAACTGTTATACACTGAATTTATGTTTAAATAAAAACAATTTTTTTTGCGGAAACCATTTTTTGGTCAATTTTTCACATTTTGTTTTTATTACTCAAAATATTCTATACTTTTTTTTCATACAATTTATTTTTTTTAACCCGCAATGGTCACACGGGTTTCAAAGGACCCCAAAACATTTTACGTTTAATTTTTTTAAATTGGTCGTTACAATATGCAAAATATTTTAAATGTAAAAAAGTACTAATGGATTTTAAAGATCAGACCTTAAACTAAAGTTCAGTTACCGATTTAAACCGACAAATTAAATAGAAGGGAAATAACAACTATTTTGGTGTGTGGTACCATTATGCAATTACTTTGAGGTGTCACCATTACAGGTTAATATATAATAAAAGGTGGTAATTTTAAAAAAATTGTTATAGGAAACAATTAAAATTCTTTATGTTATTTAAAGAAATATGAAATTTTTATTTTCGCACGTAATAACTTACATATGACAATTGTCAGTAATACTGTTTGGTTTGCGTTGAAATTGATTAAACAGAAAAAATAATACTATTTTTTTTAAAGAGAAAACTAAAATTATTTCATAAATTCTTTACGTTATTTAAAGAAATATGAAAACTTACATATGACAATTGTCAATAATACTGTTTGGTTTGCGTTGAAATTGATTAAACTGAAAAATTAATACTATTTTTTTTAAAGAGAAAACTAAAATTATTTCATAAATGAAAATCAAACCAAAAAATGATGTACATCAATTCTAAATAAGTGAAATTAAATTTTTTTTTCGTCAAAATAATAAAAAAATATCATTTGAGATTCACATCAGATAATCAAAAAAATTAATACAGAGAACTGTAATTTCCTTCTTAGCAGAGACTTTTTAATCTTCTCCAACATCTTCTCGTCGAAGTTGGCCATTGTTAACTCTCTTTAATTCTCGAGTAACTAAAAGGACATCTAATAGACGCATTGGATCTCCTCTTCCAGACTGGATATTCGCATCGGAATCAAGTTGTAAATAAAGTCTGGGCCCTATTAACAAAAAATTTATTTATTTATTTATTATTATAGCATTTATTTATTTATTTATTATTATTATTATTAATTTTATTATATAATATTTAATTCATTTTTTTGCATGCTTTCCTTTCTTTCTTTATTTTTATGTTTCTGTTTGTAAATTTTTTGAGTTTAAAAAGTTTAAAATTATTTAATTTTAATTTTTGTTTCTTTGTTACTTTTTTCTATCTTCAGTAATAAATTAAATTTTTGTAGTTATCTACGTTTCTTTATTTACTGAATAAAATTAATAATTAATTAACTTATTAAATTTAAAAATTAAAATACCTTGGGTATTAACTCGTCCAACCATTGTAACAGGAGAGCCTTTTTCAAAATTAACTTCATTTCTGAAGTTAGCAATTCTAACTTCTAATTTGAAATTCCCGTCAGTCACCGATCCACAACCATAAGTGCCCAAATTTCGGTTTATGCCCACCATTTGGTACACAAATTTAGTTTTGATAAAAGCAGAGACTCCTGCAAATGAAAATTAGTAAAAATAAATAAGAGACATTTCATGCCAAACCAACACATCATAGAAATTGACATTTTTAATTTGGTTCACATTTTTTACTTTTCCATACTCTACAAAAAACAGTTCCATTATTTTTTTTAAATTTATCTATGCAGCCGTTTACGAAATTTGTATTTTTGAAACTTTACGATTTATAAGAGAAAAATTTTTTTGATTACTTTTAACTTTAACAAAAATGGATTCATTTTAATGTTATTTATATGAAAATTTTCAGTTTTTTAATAAAGATTTGAAATATTTGATGCAAAAAATGATCAAAAAATTATTTATCAATATTTTTGTAATTTATGGGTTAAAAGCTTATTTTAAAAATTGTTTGTACTCTTAAATGTTTTTAAATAATTTTTAAACAAAAATATTTTTTTTATGTAAATCGCAAGCCTAGTACAGTTGATTACTACTATTTTTTATAAATTTTTAAAATTATTGAAATTTAGAACTGTCTCATATGTATACCTCGGATTCTTTTGGTACTACACATATGTATGAATTTCGACATGCTAATTACGAAAATCATACTCACAATGACCAAAAACTCAATTTTTATAATGAAAACAATAAAAAATATAATTTTTAGATTTTTTGCTTTTATCTCATAAGGTATTCAAAAATTTTAAAAAAGCTTTCGAGAAAGGTTGATGATGCAATAAAAAAATATTTTTTTTATGTATTTTGTTTTTTTGCTAAAAACTAAGGATAATGTTGAAAACTTGTTTTTTTTATTGTGGTTTAAACATTTTTGTTATTTTTTGAGAAAACTAACAAGTTTATTCTAATATTACAAAATTTGTCTAAAGCAATTTTAAAAAAATTTACATATTTTATGAGATAAAAGCAAAAAAAGCATAAAATTATTGTTTTGTTTCGTGAATTTCACCATAAAAATAAAATATTTAGTCGTTGCGAGTATGATTTTCCTAATCTGCGCATAAAAATATTTAAGTATGCATAGTACTAAAATAATCCGAAGTATGAATGAGGAAATCCTCAATTTCAATAATTTAAAAAAATTATGGGAAAATATTAAAAATCATTGACTCACGACGAGATGAGACTTAAAATTTGCGTAAAACGAAGTAATTTTTTCTAAAAATTATTTCAAAAATTCAAAGGATACATACAACCTTTAAAATAAAATTTTAACCTATAAATTACAAAAAAGGGATAAATCATTTTTAGATGATTTTTTGAATCAAATTATTAAAAATTTTATCAAAATGCTGAAAATATTCATATAAGTAACATCAAAATTGATCCATTTTTGTAGAAGTTATGAGCAATCAAAAAAATGTTTTTCCTAAAAACTGTAAATTTAAAAAAAATTATATTTCTTAAACAGCTAGATAACGGAATTAAAAAAATCATCATTCGAATACGTGAAAATGGAACCAACTATTAACAACAAAATTAAAAATTTATTTACTTACTAATAGTTTCATTTTCATAATGAATGACATCCATCATTTCTACATCACCAATTTCTGGAACGTCATCATCCCTTTCCGTAACATGATCTCCCACAACTGTGACTACAGTCGTGGAAAATAACTGGAGTTCAAAAGACACGTTTCCCTTGTTAAAGTCCGGTCTTGATGGAACGCGAGCTAAAGCTCCATCAATGTGTATAATCTAAAAACATTTATTTACATTACATAATGTTAATTTATATTATTCATAAGAAATTTTTTTAATATATTCATTTAATAAATTAATTAATTTATCGTAAAATAAGGTGTTAAGGGACACAAAAAAAATTTGAACGACAAAGTTAATTTAGTTAATTTAGTATCCAAAATCCAAAATTCAATATCCAAAAAACTAAATTCAATATCTAAATTCTAATATCCAAAATCAAATATCAAGAATTCAGTATCCAACATCCAAAATTCTAAATTGAAAATCCAAAATGCAATATGCAAAATTCAAAATTGAATATCTAAAATTAAAAATGTAATATCCAAATTACAGTATACAAATTTTAATATGAAAAATCCAAAATTAAATATTGAAAATGCAAGATCCAAAATCCAATATCCAATAACCAATACTATTATATCTTTAATACTAATATTATCTAATATTCAAAATCCAGATATGTTAAATAATAAAGTTCTCTAATTTCCAAAATACACAAATCTTTATTACCAATGCAAAATATATTTCCAACATCCAAAATGCAATATGCAAAATCCAAACTTCAATATCCGAAATCAAAAATTCAATATCTAAAATCCAATATCCAAAATTTTATATGCAACATGCAAAATTCAATTTCCAAAATCCAAAATTCAATATCTAAAATCCAAAATGCAATATCCAAATTGCATTTTAAAAATGCAATATTGAAAATCCAAAATCCAATATCTAATACCCAATATCAATATATTTTTAATACGAATATTATCTAATATTCAGAATATAATATGTTAAATACTAAAGTTCTCTAATTTTCAAAATACACAAATCTTTAGTACCAATGCAAGAAATGCAAAATATATTTCCAACATTGAAAATCCAATATGCAAAATCAAAACTTCAATATCCAAAATCCAAAAGTCAATATCGAAAATCAAAAATTCAATATCCTAAATCCAATATAAAAAATTCAGTATCCAAATTCGAAATTTTAATATCCAAAGTTCAAAATTCATTATTTATTAAATGGAGCATAAACCCAAAAAATGTCAGTAACGATTAATAATTAAAATTTCTCCACCTTTTAGACCTTGCCATTCGAAAGGACACTAAGAAATGTGTAGAAATGTTTATTATTACTAAAGAATATAGCAAGAATCAATTGCTATTTATTTCTGAATGTCTGTCTTATATTCTTATAATAGATTACACATTTCGTGTGCATATTTTAAGAACTGCATTTACATGACCCAAACATTGAAGCAGAAATTTTAAAATCAAGTAACCACAATCATTTTTAAATAATAATTAAATGTGAAATAAATAAAAGCTACATAACATCAAAGTATTTCGTGATAAACAATATTCTTTATAAATAACTTTTCAGAAAATTCTACACTTTTGTACACAGCAGAAGGAAGAGCATAGATTTTTAATTGTTCCTTAGATTTAACTCGAGAACAACCAACATAAATTTGACCATGACCAAATGCTGAAATTGGTAAATATATTCCTACTTTATCAAAAGATTGTCCTTGAGATTTATTAATTGTCATGGCATAAGCAAGTCTAACTGGATATTGTCTTCTTATCATTCTAAATGGATATGTGTCTTGTGAAGGAGATAAATCAATGCGTGGAATAAAAACTATTTCTCCCTTAGATTTTCCAGTAATTATTTCTGCAGAAATTACGTTTCTCAATAATGATTTTACAACTAATCGAGTCCCATTACATAATCCCTGAACCAAATTCATATTTCTTAAAAGCATAATTATACATCCTACCTTTAAAGATAATTTATGAGGAGGCAAACCGTCTGGTGTTAGACTATTTAAAAATTCTATTGGAACAATATTATTTACATCTTTTCGATCGTCGTCGACATGTGAATCAATACTATAATAAATTATTTCTTGTCCTTCTAATTTTAACAAAATACGTTCATTCAAATCTAATACCTCAGAATTAGTTAATGAAAGAATACAAGCTGAATGAACAGATTCATCATGTTTATTTATTGACGATCCATAAATTTCATCAATTAAATTTCCATCAGAAATTAAATCCTGTGGTATTTCTAAAACACTGTTTTCTCTTTCAAACATAGATTGAGGTTTACCATCACCAACATTTAGTAACCAATTTGAAAACTCTACATCATTATTCTCTAATCTAACGTTAATATGTAAGGACTTACTTTCAAAAAGATCCCACAATCTACTATTTTTCACACATACTTCAACAATGTGTGTGCGACTACCATGTGGAACAATTGGCAATGTTTGTCGAAAATCTCCTGAAAGCAAAATAACTTTACCTCCAAATGGTTCATTACATTGTGTAATATCTCGCAGCATAGACTCCATTGCTTGTAGAGCAAATTTAGGTGCCATTGTTATTTCATCCCAAATAATGATTTTGGCACTTCTTAACAGTTCAGCGTGCTTTGACATTCTACTGATATTGCATGTTGAATCTTCATTGATTGGTATAGGAAATTTAAACATTAAATGTGAAGTTCGTCCACCTCTTAAAAGATTAGCTGCTATAGCAGTCCATGCAACTGCTAAAACTACCAATTCTTCACTTTCAAGTGCAGTAATAATTGTGTCTTCTAAATAGCTTTTACCACAGCCACCAGGTGCAGAAAGGAAAAAGTACCTATTTTTGCAATTATCATTATGTACTGCTGCCATGACATCATCAAAAATTTTGCGCTGTTCACTATTCAAACTTTTTATGAGTATTTCAGCTTCTTCTTTTAGCAATTTTAATGCTAATGCATTAGCTTCTTTATCGACAAAAATATAATCTTCAAGAATTTGTTGATCAATATTAGGCAAACCAAATTGATTTAAAGCAAATCCATGAAAATTAAGCACTTCATTAATTAATATTAATGCTTGTTGAAGTGCTACTTCTACGGGTACATTATTATCAAAAATCATGTGTTCCTTGTACTTATTCCATAAATCAAATGCATTCAGAGGCAATCCAAACACACATATATATGCAAATAGACGACAAAGTTCTTTAGGAAATTTCATGCTTACAGCTTCAGTCAAACAATTATCCCATTCACTATCATCTACCATCAAATTTCTTGCACGCGCTGCTTCTGTAAAAGTATTATATGTAATACCTTCATATGTTCTTACATCATCAAACGATTTAGCACCACGTACATGAAGCAGTAAGATTCTCAAAAAATATCTTTCAATATCTTTCGGACTTACGAAATACATGCGGCAAATTAAAGGTTTAGTAATTCGTTCCCTTATTTTCCAAGTTTTAGATGATTCAACAAAAACATACTTATGTGGTATTTCTGTGTACAAATACTTCCGTGCCTCAGGATTTTCTACATTTAACTTGAACCATGCTGTTAATGTAGTATTTTTAAATTTATTAACTGCTTCTTCTTCTAATCCTTCTTTAAAACATACTGATTGTTGATTAGGCAGATGTACAGCTAATCTATAAGTTGCATGTGATTGTTTATGCATATTGAATTCGTATAATCTATGCATTGCTTCTGGTGGACATACATAACGTGTATTTAAATAATGTTCAATTTCATCATATTCCATTTCCTGATTATCATCCTTATAACCTATTATTGCAGTGTCATGACCTTTATGCATATATTTGAATAAATATTTAATACCATCCGTACTACCACATGGTATAACACAAATATGACCTTTAAATGTTTTACTTAAATAAAGATTATATGGTACAATCATCGAATTGTCAGCAGTACATTTAATTGATCCATCTTGTTTATAAAAAATAATTTTTTTTCCATCATTCCTTCGCCTGAGTTCCGGATAATTCTTCGAACCATAAGTTGTTTCAGAACAAAAAGGCTTCGGATATTGTTTTGTACAAACTTTCTTTTCAGGATCCATACAAGGAGAACTCATGTTTTCTTTACCACATGGCCCATGAACTTGAAATTGCTTTACAATATTAAAAAGTTCCGGATTCTTCGTTTCGTCTGGTATTTCCGCACATATCATTTTATCTAAGGTTTCTGCATCTCGAATTGGTGTACGTAAAAATATAATTATATGCACATGTGGCAATCCACGTTTTTGAAATTCTATAACATATACAAATGCAATAATTGGGCCAAAAATTTCTTTGTCTTTTATTTCTTTCATTAACTCTTTCACTTTATGTTGAAAAATTCTAGCTACAAGATCTGGGCGATCAGACGCAGTTTCAACATCCAACAAATTTTCTGTAATTTCACGCCACTTTGGATTACATGTCATTGTTATAAATAAATGTGGTTTTCCAAATTCTTGAACTAATCGCATAGCATCCATAAAACATTGTTGATAACAACGTGGTCCTCCAATAAACGTTGATGGCAAAATAATCATTTTTCCAGGTCGAACATTTTCGTCTTTTGCTTTATTGTGAATATAATCCATTAATCCACAATACAATTCTGCTCGAAGCTTTTTTTGTTGTAAACGAATGTATTTTAAACGTTCACCTTCTACTTTCGACCAGACATCAACTATGTATTGCTGAGTTAATTTTCCTAATTTTAAACATGGATTGAAAGATCCTCTATATGAAAGGCGATACATATAAAATTGTAAAGGTGTTACATTACGAGTACCTTCAGTATGCTTAAGGTTAACAGTCCATCCAGGATCACCATAAGGAAACATTAAAGGATATGTCATAGGATCAACATTTTCACTAAGACTAGAAATTGGAACACTCTTTGAATATTTTGGGTATATACATATATCACGTTCCATAGGAGGTTCACCATCTTCGCTAACAAATACAACTGCTACTTCACTACAAGACGGAACATTAAATTTACTTTGATTTAATGATCTGTCGCGTTTAATCCACATTTCAATATTTCTTATAGGTTTATTTTTAGATTTTGCTAGTGATTCTTCTACTAATTCTACCTCTCTCATCATTTGAAATGCTTTAGCATAAGGATTAATTTCTCTTAATAATTTATCTATTTCTTCCATTAATGATGATAAACATTTCTCATTACATTTATTCTTTAATCGTTCAAGCACTGCATCATTGGTATCAAGAATGTACAACTGTCCATACTTTCGGTTTTCATTATCATCAGGATGAAGAGCATATGTATTATGATACACTTGTCCGTGTACACGAAAAACATAAGGACCATATCCTTTAGGAATTTCTAACTTAGCTCCCATGCTGGCGAAAGCAAACGAATTATTATAACAACGAATATTTTCTTTATAATTTTTTCCTTCAACACTTGAATCTAGTAACAAACTTTTTAAATAAAGCGGATAAGGATTTAAATCTTTTAACTTCACTTTACCCTTATGACAGCAACTTTGAAATAATTTATCTAACGGCCTTTCACACAAAAAATGTAACGCACTACAAAACTTACATTTTACATTCATCATACCTAAATAATTCTCTAGTACTTCACTTTCATCAAAATCTTCAAAAGACATAATTGCAACTGCTGCACTTTTTTGATTCCGATTATCCTTTTTACATGCCAAATTCATTTCTTTGCGTTTCTTCTTTTCATCTTCACTTTCCATAGATAATTTTAACTTCTTACATGCCAAATTTTTTTCATTGCGTTTCTTCTTTTCATCTTCACTTTCCATAGATAATTTTAACTTCTTACATGCCAAATTTTTTTCATTGCGTTTCTTCTTTTCATCTTCACTTTCAATAGATAATTTTGCCCTCTTACATGCCAAATTATGTTCTTTGCGTATTTTTTTTTCATTATCAGATTCTGTAGATAATTTCTTTTTTTTGCAGGTCAAATTTTTTTTTTTACGCTCTATCTTTTGTATTTCTGTTTCTGTTTCATTACGCATACGTTTTCTCAGTCTATCCTTCTCTTGTCCAATTATTTTCTGTTCATTCGTGACTTCGCGCCTTGCTTTCTGTTTTCTTTCTTTTTCTTTTATTGCTAGAAGTCTCTTTTTATCGTTTTCTTTATTTAGGGATTGGTTCATTTCTGAATATTGTTGTGTTAAAGCTTTTTTAACATTTTTATTAGTTGCACAAAGTCTTTTTATTTCACTTTCATTATTCAGAGAATGCTTCATTTCGAAATCATTAGATGACATAACTCTGTCGACATTATCACTGAAAAGGGTTGTTAAAATATAAAAAGGATTTTGTTTACCATTTTTAAGTTCGTCAGATCGATTAATGAAAAGACTATTCCAATCATTTTCTACTATCGAATTCCTCATTTTAGACACTTTATCTGCCGGGAAATGATTTAGCCTATTATTTTCAAACATTGATTTTAAATGCTTTCTCATTATATCATTATCAGTTTTATAATTCACGCTGCTTGGCATTACATTAAAAAATACAGAGGTTGCAAATGCTATTGCATATACTCCACACTCAACACTTCCAAACGGTTGTTGATCAACAGCTACAAAAACTACTGTTGGTTTAAAAGGAAACAATCTAATTAAATAATCTAATTGATGTACATTTAAACAACCTGCATTAAGGCTATCAAAAACATAAAGCCTTACTCCATCGTAATAGACACAAATCCAATGACCTGAATTGATACTACCGCTAAAAAGTATTTGAATATGTTTATCGCCTTCTTTAATTGGAACAATGAAATCAAGCATTTGTAAATACAAAGTACTTTGCATATTAAAAACAGAATTTGAATCTTTTTTCAATAAATCTTCAAATTTATACATATGCATGTCATTTAACATTTCATTTCTATTTTCAATAATTTTTAAATCCTTATTACTTAAAACAACATACCCTTTTATGTTGGCCATTTTAGAATTCATCGAATTTTATTTTATCTAATTTTATTATTCAAAATTTCAAATTCCAATATCCAAAATCAAAATATTGTCCAATTTTCAAAATCCAAACATCTTTAATACTAAAGTTATCTAAAATCAAAATACACAAATCTTTAGTACAAATGCAAAAAAATTCAAATTATATTTCCAAAATCCAAAATTCAATATCCAATATCAAAAATTCAATATCCAAAATCCAATATCCAAAATCCAATATCCAAAATCCAAATTCCAAAATCCAATTCAATATACAATATCCAAAATCCAAATTCCAAAATCCAACTCAATATCCAATATCCAAAATTCTTCAATGTTAATATTATTTTTAAAAAATGAAAATATCTTCAATATTAAAGTCATTTAATATCCACAATGCATAAATCTTTAGTACAAATGCTATAAAATCCAAAATATAATTGACATCAAAGAAAAAAATAAAAAATAATGCACTGAAATATTTTTTTTTCACTAGTTTAGAAAATCAAAATCAAAAAAGCAAATATAATGTACGAAAGTTTTTAATTACTCACAAGATCAAAATCACTTTTAAATAAATAACTTCTTTTTTATTCAAAAGATAGAAATATGAAATATATGATAATACAATTATATTTTAAATGTCCATTTCCATTTCTAGTTTTCTCACATTTCTTTGTTTTCAATTTTGCCTTCATTCTTTATTTTCAATATCCTTGTATCCAATATTCATTTATTTCCATTTCAAAATTTCTATTTCTAATTTTCCAATTTCCATTTCCAATTTCCATTTCCAATTTCCATTTCCAATTTTCATTTCCAATTTCCATTTCCAATTTCTATTCTACTTTTATTCAACATCCATTTCCAATTAATACAAATTCCAGTTGCAAAATATAAATTAACTTACATTATAAATATCTATAGAAAATATCTTATATATCATAGAAAAAAATATACAAACTGGACAAAAAATTTAATTGTCAAAACAAATTTTATTATCTCTAAATAATTAAATTTTATCAATTTTATACTATAAATATTCTTCTACTTCATATATAAATTAAAAAAAAATTTTAATTTATATTAAGTTGATATAACATTTTACTTTTCATAACGAAACTAAAAAATTAATTTTTGTTAATGACATTTACATGTTAACATCTATTCCTTTCGAATATTTTTTTTTAATATTAGTATTACAAAACCAATAAACATAGAGAAAAAATAACTCCTTCTTTCAAAAACCACTGAAATGTCAAAAATATTTTAAAGAACACTTTTTAATAATAAAGATTTATTTACATAATATTCATGATATATTTCATCATTTTTTACATTTTTTGAATGACTTATAATCACTTGAAAATAAAAAAATATATATTACTGTAATCAACAAAAAATTCAAATTTTTTACTATTATAAAAATTTACTTACACTAATTTACTTGCAGTTCACTGAATGTTCTATGGTATTGACAAAATTCACTTACACTTATTCACTTTCAGTTCACTGATTGTTCAACAAAACAATTCACTATTTCTTAATTCATACTTATACGACGAAAAAAGTAAATGACGAATAAAAAATATCTCTTTTCTATTAGAAAAGTAGTGCGACAATAACGCTCCTATGTGTAATTTGTTTCAATCTCACTCGCACTCATGCTTACCACTGATTCGTAGTATATATATATATATATTTACTGTTGATGATATTAAATTATATATATATATACATGCGCGTACAATAGACTGCCCACTGTTTGAAAGCAACCCTTCGAACAATAGATCAGGTAGTCAAGCAGACCTTCGTTTCTCTTCCTATATATCTATATATATGTTTATATATATATAGATATATTTAATAGAATTTTGTGAAAATATCTTCCTATCTTCCTCTTTCCAGGTAAATACTATAAATTCGTCTCTTTTTATAACGCTGAAAATCTAACGCATTCCCTTCTCTCTTTATTTAATGACATGGCATAAGATTGTCTTCCTTCAGTTAACCCATTAACGCCCAAATGTCCACAATTTTTAACTTAACTTCAATGAAAGAATTAAAACATTAAAAGACCAGATATTTTAATGCCCATGGGTTCTAGGGGGTATTGGGTATCGCTCTTTCAGATTTTGAGGTGAAAATAGAGATTGGTCGACCAGAAAATACAATATGGCGAATAAAATAAAAAAAAAACCCAAAAAATCATTGTTTTTTTCTTAACATTTTTTTTTAACCCGAAAACATTTTTTTTTAGACATCCAACCTATCCTATTGGTGGATAAAATAGTTGTACTTTTAAACTATGTTCATGAGAACCTTTAATTTCAAGATGGCGCACTCAAAATGGCGGAAAAGTAAATGCAATTTAGTAGATATGAACAGAATATTCAACTAACAGTTAAAAAGTCATTAATTCTGCCTCAAAATGGTTACTCGGGGGTTTTCGGAGTCGCTGATTACAAATCTGAAGTCACTTTTTCAAAATTCAAAATAGCGGATCCAATATGGAGGACAAATTTTGTAAAAATTCATTGAATTTGCTTGAAACTTATTACTTGGGGGTTTTCGAGGTCGCTGATTAAGAATCTGAAGTCTGTTTAAAAATTCAAAATGGCGGATCGAATATGGCGGACAAATTTTTTAAAAATTCATTGAATTTGCTTGAAACTTATTAGTCGGGGGTTTTCGAGGTCGCTGATTACGAATCTGAAGTTCATTTTTCAAATTTCAAAATGGCGTATCCAATATGGCGGATTACTTTTTAAAAATTCATTGAATTTGCTTGAAACTTATTACTTGGGGGTTTTCTAGGTCGCTGATTACAAATCTAAATTCAAATTATTAAAATTCCACAATTTTTAAGATATTTCTTTAACATAGTCAAATTCTGAAAATGTGGCTTGTAACTCGTAATCTGGTAATTCTAAAAAGATAAACAGGTTAATTTAAATTAATAAGTTTTTCAAAAGTCGTTTGCCATTTTGAATTTTGGAAAACTGACTTCACATTCGTAATCAGCGATCTCGAAAACCCCCGAGTAATAAGTTTCAAGCAAATTCAAAGAATTTTTAAAAAATAATCCGCCATATTGGATCCGCCATTTTGAATTTTGAAAAACTGACTTCAGATTCGTAATCAGCGACCTCGAAAACCCCCGAGTAATAAGTTTCAAGAAAATTCAATGAATTTTTAAAAAGTAATTCGCCATATTCGATCCGCCATTTTGAATTTTTAAACTGACTTCAGATTCTTAATCAGCGACCTCGAAAACCCCCGAGTAATAAGTTTCAAGCAAATTCAAAGAATTTTTAAAAAATAATCCGCCATATTCGATCCGCCATTTTGAATTTCTAAACCGACTTCACATTCTTAATCAGCGACCTCGAAAACCCCCGAGTAATAAGTTTCAAGCAAATTCAAAGAATTTTTAAAAAATAATCCGCCATATTGGATCCGCCATTTTGAATTTTGAAAAACTGACTTCAGATTCGTAATCAGCGAACTCGAAAACCCCCGAGTAATAAGTTTCAAGAAAATTCAATGAATTTTCAAAAAATAATCCGCCATATTGGATCCGCCATTTTGAATTTTGAAAAACTGACTTCAGATTCGTAATCAGCGACCTCGAAAATCCCCGAGTAATAAGTTTCAAGCAAATTCAAAGAATTTTTAAAAAATAATCCGCCATATTGGATCCGCCATTTTGAATTTTGAAAAACTGACTTCAGATTCGTAATCAGCGATCTCGAAAACCCGCGAGTAATAAGTTTCAAGAAAATTCAATGAATTTTTAAAAAGTAATCCGCCATATTCGATCCGCCATTTTGAATTTTGAAAAACTGACTTCAGATTCGTAATCAGCGAACTCGAAAACCCCCGAGTAATAAGTTTCAAGAAAATTTCAATGAATTTTCAAAAAATAATCCGCCATATTGGATCTGCCATTTTGAATTTTGAAAAACTGACTTCAGATTCGTAATCAGCGACCTCGAAAACCCCCGAGTAATAAGATTCAAGCAAATTCAAAGAATTTTTAAAAAATAATCCGCCATATTGGATCCGCCATTTTGAATTTTGAAAAACTGACTTCAGATTCGTAATCAGCGAACTCGAAAACCCCCGAGTAATAAGTTTCAAGAAAATTCAATGAATTTTCAAAAAATAATCCGCCATATTGGATCATTTAATATTGCATTTCTCTATCTAGAGGATTCAAAATAACAAAAGAATATCTTCGCCTAAAAATCTTACTTTTCTTTTTTTCTGTTTTAAAAATAAAAAAAATATGTATATTATAGGCGTTACCTATTCAGTTTTAGACTTTTTTTATAGTTTTTTTCACGTGATAAAGGGAGAAAGAAATTATTACCTGGGTCCTCAGAGTTATTAATTAATCCTCTTTAAAAGATTGCAGGTCAAGCGAA